ATATATATATATATATATATATATATATATATATATATATATATATATATATATATTAATGCTTTGGCAGCATTGTGTTACATTAACATTATATATATATATAAACAAACAACAACAACAACATAGATAATAAATAAATAAAATCCATCAAAATAGATGAAAAGATAAAGTGAGTCAGAAGTTTGATTCATAAGTTTCAAAATCAATGTTCTAAAGCAACTGTTCTTAATCCTGTTCCTCACGTCCCCCTGTTCTGCACACGCTCTGCTCTGCATTTCTCTCTCTCTCTCGCTCTCATTCAGATCATCAACTTGTCAGCTCCATCAATGAACTGTGTTCCAGTTATACACTTTACGTGTATAGACAGACAGATATTTTTTACAAAGCTACGAGAAGCGTTAAGCATGGATGCGTACGCGGTTGCCGTGGTAGCGAGCAATACTTGCTGGCAAACACTTCTTACTCTTACAAAAATGCTACAAAGCAATTGTTATGTTTTTGCACTTACACAACAGTAAGGAAGACAATCAGATCGGAGCTTATCTGAAACACGTCTTTACTGCACAATTGCAATTATCACAATTACAGTGCACAAATACAGAATACTCTTTTAGTAATTGACTCAATATGCAACAGTTCCTCCCCTCCAGCCTTGATGCGCTCACTTTAAGCTGCACAAATTTAACATTACCATGAAGAACACTGGCATTCAGAACAGTTTTTTTTAACAAACATGGCAATACATAGCTTATTCAACTGTGTATATGTAAACAACAAGTCCAGCCTATCAGGTGGTTTACGAACACGCTCAGGATAACATTTCACTTGCTCTGCATTTTGAGAAAGAGACTGTGAGCTAAGCGATTCAACAGTTTCTGGTCCTGTCACATCGTCCGGGCATTGGGAAGTATCCTCACTCTCTGCGATGTTTTGAGAATAATGAACCTGTTTCGCTGTTGCATCCAAAAGCTGATCAATGTGTCTGCGCCAAACCATGCTGGTACTGTGGTGTCCTGTTATTCAATGTTATGCTTACTAAGACCACAAGAGGGAGATAGGATGAGTGGGGGAGAGAGGAAAGGGAAAAAAAGAAGTAGAGTGAGAGACTAGATGTATGTGTGTTAAGAACTGTTATTAAATGAGTTATGTGACCCGTTCAACTGCTGTGGCCTGGCTTCATATCGCTACCTGAAACACAACATATTGGCGACAAGGCGACCACGATTGCTGCAAAGATGGCATCGGCTGCACCATTTCCTAACTTCTTACCAGCTCCAGGTGATCCCGCGATTCCCTTCAAGACATGGGAACGGATGTTTAAAAATGACCTGCTAGTGATCGACGTCCAAGGACAGGAAAGGTCGGAAGCCAGGAAAAGAGCCCTACTGTTGCACTGCCTGGGTAAAGAGGGGCAGAGAATATTCGACACTTTACCTGACACGGTCGATAAAATGTCCGCTGCAATTACTGCTTTACATGCTCATTTTACACCCAAGTTGAACGTGGTTATGGAGCGACACACATTCCGAAAAAGAATTCAACAAGCTGGTGAGTCTATAATCCAGTATGTTGCTGGACTGAGAGAACTTTCATCCACGTGTGAGTTTACAAATTCAGACGATATGATTCGTGACCAGCTCGTGGAAAACGTCACTAATCCGCGTGTCCGAGAGAAACTTTTGCTGCAGGAAAAATTAACACTAGCCGATGCTCTTACAATTGCACAACAAGTTGAATCTGCTGGAGAACATGCTAAAGCAATAACGAATACACATAACTTTTCTGTACAGACTGTGAGTATGCAACGACATGCGAAAGTTCATGGACACGGCGCTGGGGGATCTAAAAATAGAACGGCTAGCGCGCTTGACTGCTCCATTCACAACGACTTTGACTGTGACTTAAGCCACTCGTACCTGCTTTCGCTGCGGATCGGATAAACACCTCGCAAATGCAGTAGAATGTCCAGCAGCCAAGGTAACCTGTAAAAAATTGCAAGAAAAAAGGACATTTTGCACGTGTTTATAGAACTACACAAACTCACACAGTGCAGGAAGTGGTAATGCCCGAGTACACGCTACTGTTACTACAAGATAAAGATGCAAGTTCCAAACTCCAATGTACTGTTCAAGTCGAAGCTGGTGCAATTCAGAGGCCTGTTTCACTGACCGTTGATACTGGCGCCTCTGTTTCGGTTCTGCCTAAGAGCATGTATGATGATTACTTCAGTGAAGTATCTCTATAGCCACCTGCAGCGTGCTTAGTCAGTTACTCGCGTACTCCAATTAATGTGATCGGCTGCCTGCATGCAACAGTAGTAAAAGACTGCCGCAAATGTTCAGTGAGTTTCTATGTGGTGGACAAAGGAACCGCGTTAATGGGCATGGACCTCATATCAGCTCTAAAACTGTGCATTAAAGGAGATAAAATCATGCCAGAACCTGTGTTACAGCTTTCTACTCAAGTGGACACACCTTCAGTAGGCTGTGTTGTAGGGTTTATGCATAAAGTCAAAGTGTCAGATTCAGTCGTTCCGGTACGACAGAAATTATGACGCCTGCCATTTTCTGTGAGAAAAGCTGTGTCCGCTGAGTTGGTCAAACTGCTTTAGCTGGAGCTACGATCTTCTCAACAATCAATCTTGAAAGTGCATATCACCAAGTGCCTTTACATCCAGAGAGCCGTGATTTAACTGCATTTATCACACATGAATTACCTCGCTTTTGCAGGGTACCGAACGGTTTGGCTTCAGCACCGTCAGTATTCCAAAAGATGATGGAGTGCATACTTAAAGGGATACCGAACGTGCAGAACTACCTTGATGACATCATTTGCTTTGGACGGACAGAAGTGGAACATGATGCTGTGCTGAACACAGTGTTGAACAGACTAAAGGAGGCTGGTATACGGCTGAACGAACAAAAGTGTCAGTTTCGGCAAAAGAGCTTGCACTTTCTGGGACACTTGGTTACAGCACAAGGAGTTCAGCCAGATATTGAGCACTTACAAGCAATTGTACAAGCCCCAGCTCCTAAAGATGCGCCAACTCTATGCTCATTCCTGGGTATGCTCTGATGGTATAATAAATTTATACCCAACTATGCTACCGTAGTTGAAGCATTACGCGCATGTCTCCGTCAGGAGGAAGTATTCCAGTGGAGTGAGGAAGCAGAGAGATGCTTTTCCTCTGTGAAGCAATTGTTGGTGGCAAGTCCAGCACTAGCTTTGTATGATCCTGACTTACCATCCATTATCTCTACAGATGCATCAGATCATGGTCTGGGTGCGGTGTTCACTCAAATTCATCCAGACAACACAGAGCGGACAGTCGCTTTCGCCTCCAGATCCTTAACTCCGGCTGAGAGAAAGTATGCTATAGTGGAGAAAGAGGCGTTAGCATGCGTGTGGGCAGTGGAAAAGTGGAGGACCTATCTGTGGGGGCGTAAGTTTACACTGCGAACTGACCACCAGGCGCTAACAATATTACTCTGTACTAAAGGAGCAGACAGGGCTGGAATGCGCATAGCTAGATGGGCTGCGCGCCTGCTATGCTTTAATTATGAGCAGTGGAAAAGTGGAGGACCTATCTGTGGGGGTGTAAGTTTACACTGCGAACTGACCACCAGGCGCTAACAATATTACTCTGTACTAAAGGAGCAGACAGGGCTGGAATGTGCATAGCTAGATGGGCTGCGCGCCTGCTATGCTTTAATTATGACATGGTTTATCGCGCAGGTTCGTTGAATTGTACAGCTGATTGTCTTTCAAGATTGCCCTTGCCATCTACCACAGATAAGGACTCAGACACAGAACCTGAGCTAGTTGCATTGTTGTCAATGTCTCTTACGTCAGTTACTCCAAAGGAGTTTGAGTCTGCTTCTATAGCCTGTTCTGAGCTGTCTGCTCTGCGTGCTCAGATTGAAAAGGGTTGGCCAGCTTCAGCAAAAGCCCTGGGTTCTCCACTGCAACTGTACTTCAAAATGAGACATGAACTTTGTGTGACCAACAATCTTGTGTTCCGGGGTTCACGTTTGGTGGTTCCAGTGACGCTGCGCAGGTCACTTTAGCACATGAGAATCATCAGGGCATAGTAAGGACCAAACAGCGGTTGCACGATCTGTATTGGTTTCCGGGAATGGACGCTATGGTTCAAACTCAGATTGCTGCATGTTCGTTGTGCTAAGAAGCAGACAGGACTGCAAAGACTACTGCTTCTCCATTACAGCCAGTGCCTCTCCCTGACACTCCATGGTTGAAGTTGGGTTTGGACATAGTAGGACCCTTTGAGAGAGCTGCTTATGACTGTAGATACGCTATTACTCTGACAGACTATTACTCAAAATGGCCAGAGGTGGCATTTACGCCTTCCATTACGACATCTGTAGTCATTGGATTCCTGAATTCTGTTTTCAGCAGACATGGAAACCCAGAATGTCTGGTAACTGATAATGGACCGCAACTTACCTCTTCAGTCTTTACTGCTTTCTTGGATGAACGAAATATCACACACATCAAGACGTCCGTGTACCATCCTGCAGCTAATGGGGCTGTGGAAAGATTCAATAAGGTTCTTAAAGACTGTGCAAATGGCCATTCTTCAGAAGTGACTATGGAAACAAGCTGTATTGGACTTTTTGCAGACCCATCGTTCTACCCCACATGCAATGAATTTGAACTGTTGTACGGTAGAAAACTGAGGACCAAACTCACTGTGTTTACACATCATTCCAAGAACACACTGGACAGGGAAGTTCGACAGCGAGTGTCGATTCGTCAGAATAGAATGAAGCAATACTCTGATGCGAAACGAGGGGCTCGGGTGCCTATGTTTCAGGTGGGGAATAGAGTCCGTATTCGGAAAACAACACACGTTCCCAAAGGACATTCAAAGTTCACACAACCTGTGGAAATAAAGGAACAAGTAGGCCCAAGCACGTACAGATTAGCGAATGGACGACTGTGGCATTCTTCTCACTTATCCTTGGTCCCACTGGTTGGGAAGCCAACTTCAGATCAGCCTGCTACTGATGTTTCAGAGGCAAATGTGCTGAATACTGATCAGGGCTTGGAAAGATATTCTGTTAGACAGCGTAAGCCACCATTTTGGCTGAAAGATTATGTGAGCACGTAAAAGCATACAGTGGTTTGGATTACTGAATGTATGTACAATACAGAAATTGAAGATGGAGATTGAATATAGTCATTGCTATGCTGTTATTCTGTTGGATCCCTGAATGTAGAAGTAAATGTTCCTGAGAGTCAGAATTTAAGGGACGTAGTTACAGTTCCTTAATTACTTTAAAGGAACTTTGTTATAAGGTGGAAGCTTATGCATGTATGTTCTTATTGAAGTTATTAACTGTTTTGAGTAATGGGTACTAAGTGAAATTGTTACACAACGAGGGAGATGTGGTGTCCTGTTATTCAATGCTATGTTTACTAAGACCACAAGAGGGAGATAGGACGAGTGGGAGAGAGAGGAAAGGGGAAAAAAATAAGTAGAGTGAGAGACTAGATGCATGTGTGTTAAGAACTGTTATTACATGAGTTATGTGACCCGTTCAACTGCTGTGGCCTGGCTTCATATCGCTACCTGATACACAACAGGTACCAACTTGTACAGTGTAAGTGAGGGGCCCAGTCTTAAACAATATTTTACCTGGTTTACACTTTTGGTATGACTGTCTATAGTCTCTAGCAAGCACATTTTGTCCAACTTACAAGGTCCTGAGTACTGATCATTTTAGATTTTGTTTACACTGCTTGGTTTGCACATGGCGGCATAAGTCAGGTTTAAGTAAGTCTAGGCACTTTCTCTCCTCCCATGGACTTCAGTGACTGTTTCAGGAACTGAATAAAGCATTCAGCCAGGCCATTCGTTGCAGGCTGGTAAGATACAGATGTAGTGTGCTGAATTACATTGCCCTTGACAAATGACTGGAATTCTTCTGAGGTAAACTTGGTACTGTTATCACTGACCAACTGCTCTGGCAAGCCGGTGCGGGAGAACAATGCTCCGCAGCAGTTCCATGGTCATCGTAGATGTAGAGTTTTTGACAGAAAATACCTCTGGTCATTTTGAATATGTGTCCACTACAGTACTACCAAGAAAATTTTTTTAAGAAAGGGTCCCGTGTAGTTAATGTGGACTTTCCCACATGCAAAGGTGCTGCTTGTGGCTGTCGCTGAACCTGTTGACATCCAGAACATGTCTTAGATAGATCTTTAATTTGGCGATCTAGTCCAGGCCACCAAACATAACTTCTTGTAACGAATCAGCTCATGGGAAATATGAATAATTAATCATAACTAGTTATAATTCATTATGAATATTTTAGATCCGCTGTAGATATTTAGGCTCAAGGTGGGCTTGTCCAATGAGAAAGAAAGAAATTCCAAGCTGGAGGTTGCAATTGCTGGAGGGTTTTACGACCCTTTGTTCGAGGGATTTGTTAAATCTAGCTAACAAAATATATATTGTGTGTTTGATTGGTCCAGACGCTACATTCTGGCCAGGCTTTTCTCATTTCTCATTTTACTTCTATAGCCCACATTAATACAACCATTGTTGCCCAATGTTCTGTACAAAGATAGATAAAAATGTTTTCATAAATATACAAAGACAATAACATCACACAGAAAAGACACAAAGAACATAAAACTCACCACCCAGAGAGATTAAAAGTCTGAGTTAATATATACATTTTTAACAATGATTTAAAACTAGAGATAGTCGGAGCTGATCTAATATTCACAGGTAACAAATTCCACAGTTTCGGGGCAGCAACTGAGAAGGCGCGATCACCGTTAAGTTTTAATCTAGATCCGGGAATTGTTAAAAGTTGCTGATCAGAAGACCTTAAGGATCTACCAGAAGGCATCAAGATATGTTGGAGTCAAACCATTTAAGGATTTAAAAACAAACACTAAACGTTTGTATTCTATTCTGAAACAAACCGGCAACCATTTGAGAGAAAACAAAATCGGTCTAATATGCTCATGTTTGCGTGTACCTGTCAGCAGCCTAGCTGCCACATTTTGAACTGCCTACAAACGCGCCAAAGCTGTCTGGTTAACTCCTATAAATATATATATATCGTACAACAATAATCGAGTAGTGAAAAAATTAAGGCATTGATGAGTTTCTCAAGGTCATTAACAGAAAGAAAAGTTTGGTAACGCTTTAGATTACAACCCGCAAAGAACTACGTAAGTATACTGAATTTACGGTGTACATTTCTGTAATTATAGTGTACCTATAAAGAACGCACGTGTAGGTATAAGGGAACAATGTGTTACATTTGGGTAATAAGGGGGTAACAACCAGATATGCAACCTGCAAAGAACTGTGTAAGTAAACTGAAGTTACAGCGTAACTTTTTTGTAACTATAGTGTACCTATTCAGTACCTCCGTGTAGGTATAAGGGAATAACATGCGAAGTTTGGGGAATAAAGGGGTGACAACCTGTAAAATTACAAATAATTTATACTGCAAGTATTTTGAAACTAAGAGGTACCTATTCTAATATTACGTGGTATGTATGGCCTAAACAACAATCTTATGTTTGGGAATGATTTAGAAAGACGATATATACTTTTTTATAATTTTATATTGGTATTTTATTATAGGCGTATAGGAAACAAGTTTACCTCTTTCCAGCTGTTCGCAGAAAAAATACATGATACAACATTTGTATTTCAGTGGATGTATACTGTGGTGTTTGTATAGCAAAAAAAATGTAGAGGGTTTAATTTGACCATCGAACAATTAAATCAAAACTAGTGCAATATTTTTCTCTGTAATTACTGTGCAAATATACACTTGTTCTGTGTTTAAGTCCAACTTGTCCTCCCTTGTTCCATGTAGTTACAGGGTAAATACAACATTTGTGGGCTGTAAATTAAAGTGGTGCTTTGTTCTCCCCTTGTTCCATGTAGTTACATGGTAAATACAACATTTGATGGCTGTAAATTAAAGTGGTGCTTGCCCCCCCCCCCTGTTCCATGTAGTTACAGGGTAAATACAACATTTTCGGGTTGTAAATTAAAGTGGTGCTTTGTTCCCCCCTTGTTCCATGTAGTTACAGGGTAAATACAACATTTGCGGGCTGTAAATTAAAGTTGTGCTTTGTTCCCCCCTTGTTACATGTAGTTACAGGGTAAGTGGCTACAACAAATTGCTGTGAAACTATTGTTATACAGTAGGTCATACATACATACATTATATATCAGGTAATGTATCAATAAACATGGTGAACTGTTTTATTTAATTCAAATATTGTTTGCAATTTACTATAGGCCTACTGCTGGGTTAAATTAACCCAAAATGGGTTTTAAAATTAAAATCACACACAGTTTGACAACAGTAACAACACAGGCAACAGATAGTCTAATAAAAGATGAAAATTTATTACAGCAGTTCAGAAAAAAATCTAAGCAACTCCTAACAACTCCTAACTTCTAACATACTTATAAAGCGTATACAGTTAAACCAAATTCTTTTGAAAAGCTTGTTTAAGAATAAATAGTTTTTGTTAAATTTGTTCATGTTTTTCATCCACTGACGAAGTTAAAATATTATGGCCAAACCATCACGCCAATAAACACACAGTAATAAACACTGAAAGTCAAGATTAAACTGTGTATTATAGCGAACTGACAGGATTTTACTTTCTTTGATTTCACCGCTCATCAGTCGCTGCTCAATGTTGTGAGAACATACTCGGATAAAACCCTCCAGTTTTAAAAGAACACATTCCAGTCAGTTTTAAAACTCTCTCTTCTCTTCGTTTCGATTATTTTTTTTTGTATTTTCTACACATATTCATGTCATGAGTGCCGCAAACACAGATCGTCTCATGCGCCATTCCAGCTGTTTCCAGTTCGCACTCACCACATTCACTGCTCCAGTTTTAAAGGAACACTCCAGACAGTTTCAAAGTTGTCCCTCATCTGCGCTTCGATTAGTTTTCTCCTATTTTCCACACATGTTCCCGTCATAAGCACCGAAGTCACTGATTTCATCGCACAGGCCTCCACATTCATAACCCAGCAACGTGGGGTTACTTATTACTGATATCAACCCAAATTGGGTCAAATCAAGCCAGCTTCCTTACTCAACAGTCTCAATCGAGTGTTTGGACTGTCTGCAGCCGTGCATCAAGTCGAACGCACCTAAAATTCCTGTTGACTAAATTTTGTTAGAACAGGAAATAAACACACTGGAACTTAGGTGTCCCAGATTACCCAAATTCACCCTATATATAGATTTTGTAGTCATAGACTCACGCATGCACTGTGTGTTGTAAAAAAAAACGTTATATCTGAGAAACGAATTATTATTGTTTAGCACATTATAAAAATCTATTTGTGAATAGAGTATTGATAATAAACATGGTCCAAACATTCTTAAATACTCATGTTACAGTGTACACTCATATTACTTTTTTATAGGCTACTGTTTTATATTATAGATAGAGCATGAAAACTTCATTGCGCCATAAGAAATTTAGATACAATGAGGTAAATTCTGGCTTATTCCTCTCACCGCGTCTTCTTCTGAGGTAAATTCTGGGTCATTCCTCTCAGCGCGTCTTCTTCCTGAAACTAGTGATAGCCACTTTTGAAATATTGCTTCATGAAGCTTCGAAACCTTTGCGAACCATTTGTTTCGAAACAGTGGTTCGGAGCACGTATCAAATTGCCAAAGTCACGTGATTTCAGTAAACGAGGCTTCGTTACATCATAACTGTTTTGAAACGTTTTGAAATTTCAATAGTTTGCCTTTGCGGGGGCGATCTCTGTGAATCCGTGAATCATGCAAGTTCATTGAGCTCGCCTCCCAGCGGCGAACTATTGATCGTCTCTGATCTTGGATCAGTTTGTAGACATTTTTAACGAGACATTTGTGTAACTAAAAGGATGAGTTGTCATCTCTTACTGGCCTGTTTAAGCTCTCCATAAAACAAACAAAACAAGCCCTGCAAATTAATAATAATTATTTTAAAAACACATATTATACAGACACTTCATATTCCATGGTATTTCATTATTTTGATTGCATTTAATATTATACTTTCAAGAAAGCATTTGCATTGGGTTTGTAAAATGCAGTTTTTATGCATGTTTTAGCCTGAGTTTTTGTTGAATTTACACAGTTTTGACCAGCAGTTTTGACCCATTACTGGCCCAGTGCACGCCTGTACACCTTCTCCCTGATCGTCCTGATCCCTCAGGTCGTCAGGTGGGTCAAGAAGACCAAGTGCTCACTCCTCCTAGTGGCCCCGCTATAGAGGAGCCAGGCCTGGTTCCCAGAGCTAGTGCAGCTCTCAGCAGCAGCCCCGTGGCCCATTCCGCTGAGGAGGGACTTTCTCTCATAGGCAAAAGGCATGATTTGGCATCCTCGGCCAGAGTTGCGGAGCCTTTATGTATGGAGCCTCGACAGGAGCTTAGTCAGTTCCCAGCGAGAGTAAGCATTACCATTTTTGTCTACAAGATGCCTTTACACCCTAAAATGGTTGGTCTTCCATAACTGGTGTTCTGCACGACTCTGTGTCATGTAACATGTCCCAAGTGCTAACATTTTTACGCTCTTCCACGCTCAAAGTATATGTGGCTAGCGCAGCGAACCATTTTCTCAAAGCTGACCAGTCGATAGGCAGAAACGTTCTGATCGTTAAGTTCTTGAAGGGTGCCCAGAGGGTGAATACTATGCATCCTCAGACGGTGTCCTCATTGGACTTGTCAACAGTCCTAAGGGCCCTGCGAGACCCTTCAAGCCACTCAGTTTGGCCAACTTGCAGCCCTTATCGCTTAAACCAGCCCTCCTCCTAGCTCTGGCAACGGTTAAGCAAGTGGGCGACTTGCAAGCGCTGTCAGTCAGCACTTCCTGTGTTGTGTTCGGACCTAACGACTGTAAAGTCGTCCTAAAACCAAGAAACGTTTATGTCCCTAAGGTGTTCTCGACTCTGTACAGAGCCCAGGTGATCACCCTTTTGGCGCTCCCCTCTCCAGAAGGCAAGCAGGGAGTGCTCTGGGGCGCTCTAGCCTGTTCAGACAATCAGAGCAGTTCTTTGTTTGCTTTGGAGGCCACCACAAAGGGCTACCGGTTACAAAGCAAAGACTCTCCCACTGGATAGTAGATGCAAAAGCTTTGGCTTATGTCTCAGAAGGCTTACAATGCCCATAGGTGTGAGGGCCCACTACACAAGTGGAATGGCCTCCTCCTGGGGGCGTGGTCCAGCAGGATTTCTATTGGTGACATTTGTGCGGCCGCTGGCTGTTCGTCACCGTCCACATTTGGCAGATTTTACAATATGGACGTCCCTGCCCTGCAGGCACAGATTCTTTCTGTTTACCCCTTAGCGGTCAAAGATTGGCGACGGCCCCAGATTATTGTTGTTTCACTTTAACAGCACGTTAAACATCACACTCTTACTTGATCTGGACAAACTGTGCATCAGTAGAAAGATTTAAGTCCCATGGCCATGCCTGCTTCCTACGCGGGTGATACAGCTGAGTGTGGCGGCTTCCTCCTGCAAATGGCCTTGTTCATCGAGATGCAGCCGCAGAGATTTTCCACCGAACGCACTAAGGTAGCATTCTTGATATCACTTCTTAATGGAAGAGCGCTGTTGTGGGGTAAGGCCATATGGAACGCTAATAGTGCCATAATTAATTCCTATGATGCCTTCACTAACCATTTCAAAGAAGTCTTTGGTCACACCGGAGGAGTGCTATCTGTGCCAGAACAGTTACTGCGGCTGCGCCAAGGCATATCTTCCATGAATGACTGCACACTGCGGTTCAGAACGCTGGCGGCGACTAGCGGGTGGAATGAGGTGGCTCTACTTAGCGCTTACCGGCACGGATTGAATCCCCATTTACAAGCTCAAATGGCTATCTATGATGACTGATGTTGGACTGGAAAGCTTCATGCAAAAGGCCAACCACATTTCCCAGCTTCTGTCCGCATGCCACGCCACCAAAGCCGCCCACCAGCCTGTTACGCCTGGCATGGGTTCCCCAGTACCAGAGCCAATGCAAGTCGACACCTCCCGACTCACCCCTTCTGAACGTGCTCGCCGTCTCACGGCAGGTCTATGCCTTTACTGCCTATTAAATCGTCTCCATCTGCCCCGGAAACGTCATGCCCAGGAGCTCGTAAGTCGAGACCATGCAGGAAAAGCCGCTAGGACGGGGGTGGGTGAAATATCAAGCACCGACATTAAAGCTCAGGATTGGAACTCTACACGAGGAGGAGATCATGTTCCTGGTATTGGAGGGACCCACCGTGGATATCATCCTGGGACGCCCCTGGCTAGTTCTCCATTCTCCAGAGATCAGATGGGACTCGTGTGAGGTGACTCGCTGGCGCGAGCACTGTCACCGCAACTGTCTCAAGTCATTACCCACTCCGCTCCCAGGAACTCACTCAGCTCAAGTTGCATCTACCCTCATCGAAAGTCCTGAACCTCGGGAGGAGGTCACGGTCCCATCTGATTACTTGGCATTCCAGGATGTCTTCAGTAAGCGGGCAGCCACCCAGTTACCACCTCATCGGCCATGGGACTGCGCCATCGACTTGCTGCCTGGAGCAAAACTCCCCAATACCCATTGTCCATCCCGGAGCGCAAGGCAATGGAGGAATACATCAAGGAGGCTCTTAACCAAGGATTCATCCGACCTTCCATGTCTCCAGCTGTGTCCAGTTTCTTCTTCGTGGACAAGAAGGACGGGGGCTTGCGGCCGTGTATCGACTATAGGACTCAGAACTCCCATACTGTGCAACTGCCCTATCCACTTCCCCTGGTCCCGGCCGCCCTCGAGGAACTCCGTGGGGCCTGCATCTTCTCCAAGCTGGACCTGCGAAATGCTTACAACCTCGTTCGAATCCGGGAGGGCGACGAGTGGAAGACGGCATTCATTACACCATCTTGCCACTATGAGTACCTCGTAATGGCCTATGGGCTAGCCAACGCCCCAGCCCGCTGGGCATTGTTCTTCACCAGATTTCAGTTCACCATCACCTATCGTCCCGGAAATCGTAACAATAAAGCCGATGCCCTCTCCCGCATGCACTCTCCAGACATTCCTTCCGATCCGGAACCCATTCTCCCTCCAGCCATGATTGTAAACCCCATACAATGGAACATCGACGAGGACATTCGGGCCGCCACTCTCACAGAACCTGCTCCGCCGGGAGGCCCCGAAGGGAAAACGTATGTGCCCACTTCCCAGCGACAATCCCTTCTGGGCTCAGTGCACAATGTACCGGGCTCTGGACACCCAGGCAGCCAACGGACTCTCTCGCTCACTCGGAACCAGTGGTCTACAGCTGGAACCTCCGACAGTTCTCCTGTCCACGGGAAGAGTGGGGGCTGGTAACCGAGGATGCACTGAAACGGCGTGAGGCCGGTGGTGGACTGTCTCAGGGAATTCTGCGCATACACGGCCTAGGGGAGGAATCGGCTCCAGCTGTGTTGGTCGTCGTGACAGTATGCCCGGAGGTAACGCCTGAGTTTCTGGATCTTCTGCTCAGTCTGGCCATTTGTCTGGGGATGATAGCCTGAGGATAGGTTGACCGTGACCCCTAGTAGGCGGAAGAAGGCCCTCCACACGTGGGAGATAAACTGCGGTCCCCTGTCGGAGACGGCATACTCGGGGACTCCAAAGTTTCGGAATACGCGGGTGAATAAGTTTTCTGCAGTGTCGAGAGCGGTGGGAAGTCCTTTGAGGGGGATTAGTTTACAGGCTTTAGAAAACCGATTTACTACGACCAAGATGCAGGTATACCCCTCTGAGTTGGGCAAGTCTGTTACAAAATCGACTCCCAGGTGAGACCAGGGTCGATGTGGGATTGGCAGGGGCACTAGCTTGCCTACGGGGAGGTGACGAGGAGTCTTGGACATGGCACAGACTGAGCAACTGCGGACGTACCTGATAACATCCCGGGCCATACTGGGCCACCAGTACCAAGCTTGGAGGAGCGAGAGGGTCCGTTGGCTGCCTGGGTGTCCAGAGCTCGGTACATTGTGCACTGAGCCCCAAAGTCACTTACGAACTCCAACTCCCACTCAGGTGCCGAATTCACCCCACTTTCCATGTTTCACTCCTAAAACCCCACTCTCCCTCTGCTCCAGGCCCAACCGAACCCGACGAACCTCCTCCTCCAGAAATCCTTGACCAACCGTCCATCTACCTGGTCCGAGACATCCTGGGCTCGCGGCGACGGGGTGGTCGGCTGGAATACCTAGTCGACTGGGATGGGTATGGACCGGAGGAACGTTCCTGGGTGGCTAGGGACGACATTCTGGACCCGTTGCTCCTAGAGGACTTCCATCGCACCCATCCTGGTCACCCCACACCCAGAAGCCGTGGGCGGCTCCTGACGCCCTCGAGCGGAATACACACACAGCACAGTCACTCACTGTCCGGTCTACCGTTCACTCCTACGAACTACTCTGGACTATCTCTGCCAAATTCTCCTAGAGCGAATTACCTGCTGTTCCTCCCACGATCCTCCAACGACTCCTTGGAAACGGCTCCACGATCTCCAACGTAACCGGCATACAATCCTCTCCATCAAAACTCAGATAAGCACCGTGGAACCATTCACTGTGTTGACATTCACCTGCCTTAAACTCATCTATTCCAGTCATCCCCTTACCCAGTCAATAAACCATCCTGTTTTACACTTACCTGTTGTGTCTGGCCTTGCTATGTGACAAGTATATGGTTTGTATGTGATTTTCTTGAGATTTGGGGTATTTTCATAATAATGAATGTGTACATCTGAAATGCTAATTTGTGCAGCGATATAAAAGGCTATAAATAGCATATTTTTACAACAGTAAATGACCAAATTCCACATGAGATTGCAAAAGGAAGTTATTACAAGCACTCGGTGGTGGTTTAAAGTGAGTTTTGAGTAAAAATGTACTAATAATCTCATAAATTGTCTTATGTAGCTTGATACTAATGTTAGCTCTAATGCAGCTGCAGAACAGGTGCAGCTCTTCTTCATAATGCATTTTGTCATAATAATTCACGCAAGGTCTTAAGAAAATGTTTTGTTGTATTTTTATAGAAAAACTTTTGATAATAGGCCGGTAAATGTATACTGGGATTGAAGCGATGTGGCTTGGTAAACTTATAATGCCAGAATAAAGGCTACAAATGGCTGAATAAAACAAAAGAATAATGATAAACGAATAATGAGGATAATGTCTCATACCTGGCGGAGGTGTGAAAGGTTCGTCGGGTGACAACAATAGAATCATGAATGGAGCAGTTTGCCGAGACAGCTTACAGGAGAGCTTACAGGGGTCATAAATCAATTGTATTAGCCTTCTCTAAAAACACACATATGACATGGTCTTAGAAAATGTTTCATAAAATTCACAGTTTTGGAGATTTTGTTCTGAAATTTCAAATGAAGCATGAGTAGACTTGTGGCTTTATCTTCACTGTGTTTCTAAAATCATATCCTACAGCAACATATTTTTTATACATTTAAAAAATATGTTTTTTAATTTTTTAATTTTTGTTTTCATGTTTGAGCTTATATATCTTTATTATCATAACAATCCGAGTAATTCTGATTCCTGAACAGTAAACTTTGAAGTGTCAGCTTTGTGAACATATGTTGATTATGTATCTAGTAACAATGACTGATGAGCAGCAACCTTTTTATTTTGGGTATGTCATTTGTGTCTCCATGCTGAAAATGGGGGGTGACAGCTAAGGGGTTTTAATTGCCATTCTTCCCCGCTTTGGGTGAAGCTGGTCATATTTGTAGTTCTCGGCTATTAGCTTGGGTCATAATGTGCTCATTAAATAGCATATTAGTTCTGTGAAACAAAGCAAAACCAATGTTACTCACCTATCGAGAAGAAACAAAGCAACCTCGGTGTCCGATCGCAGGCCTTCTCCTTGAGTTCTGGAAAACTGATCCGATATTTACACGGGTCTTACTTCTTGCTTTAGCATAAGCCTTTTTTTGTTCTGTAGACGTTTCCTTCTTTTGTTTTTATCCGTCATCTCTATCTTTCTGTCGTCGCTCGGCTCGGCTGATGTCCGTCCTGTGCACTGAGCGCTCTCTCCTCACCATCATGACATTTATCTGCTCATAGCAAATACAGAATGGTTAATTTTTGTAAAGGAAAAATATGACTCCTGTTCACTATTAGGAATTTTGTATAATGACATTGTAATGATGTAGTTATTATTGTACTAATTTTGACATTTAGGCAATTTAGAAAGTATAGTTTTGTTCAATCTTGAGTATTAAATGTGAGAGACATCAGGGCAAAACAAAGAAACTGATAAGGAACATGGAAGTGAAGGTGCAGTTTAGGAGATAACTTTTAATTATTTTGCACAGCCCCAGCCTAAAGATTTAAACCTTTTTTATGTGATGGCCCTACAAAAAATAGGGTTGTCCATGTTTCAGAATTTGTTATGGATGTATGAGATGCCCTGGATTAGTGTGAGATTTCCTGGCCTGAATTTTTGTCCCAGTCCGTTTTTGTCTTTTCTTAGATCTAGGTTTTTCTGTGCTAATGGCCTGCACCCCGGAGCAGACCTCCTGTCAGACAACATCTCCACAAAGCTATGCACCAAAATCAAATCAATCAATTGTCAAAACAAATTTTAAAGCTTGAGCCCTTAAACATTAGATCACTCACACACAAGGCGGTTAT